TTCCCTTTCCCCCACTTTGGAGTCTGGTGTGTTTTGTCTGGAAAAACCTCTCTCACATTAGGTTGAGATGTGGGAGGGGGAATGGAGCTAGGGAATTGGATGTTGGGGCTATCTCAAACCATGACATACTTTTATACAGTTGGAAGTTATTTTCAACTGATGTAATCATTACTAATTCCTGTCCAGCAGCACCAGAGAATTTAGACTTTAGCTATGCAAAGTCACCTCTAACTCACGTTTGAATTCTAATGTAAGCACTAGCACCCATATCTGATATGAAAGAGCTTTTGAAATGTGAATAGACCAATACAATAGCAGTTGCAACAACTTTTTTTTTAACCTGAAGTATTCACACACTCTCAACCACTGAGACGCTTTATTTTTCTTCCCCAGCTTATGAAATAGTTTTGCAATATTGACAAACTCACAAAAGAAACTGCACGTCTGCCAACCTCTATGGCAGGGACAATTTTGTAAAGATTATTTCCTTTCTATCAGAGGAAATATTTTGCTCCGATCTCTTCCGTTATCTCACCTGCAGGAGTGAACAGGATATTTTGGAAATAGGTCATCCCTATTTGTATTTATTTTGATTGGTAGTTTCAAGCTAACTTTACGCCATTTTCAGCATATATCAGACTATCTTGCCTAGATAATACATGAGCTGAGGAAGGGACATGATCCAATAGCCTTCAAACACATCTCACAGCTTGCACTCTGTGACCGCTGCTTTAACTCGCTGCTGACCCTGACCTGCAGGGAAAACAGTCTTTTTAATATTCTTGTGACCCACCTCCTAATAGTGCACTTTGAATTTCAGGGTGAAGGATCAGATTTAATTTGATAAAGTATCCAGTGTATCATTTCTTAGTGATAAAACGTGGCATAATTTGGTTTGCTAGAGTTCACAAACACCCCAGTGGTTTCTTTCTGGCTAATATGTTGATGTCCTGTTCCCTTTGGAGGACCCCACCCTCCCACAACCAAACTTGTGACATACTACGTCTTCAAACTGGGACAGACTCCTAATGAAAAGATATTTCAAAACTCATTAAGATGTGCATTATATTGCACACATGGTAAAAGCTCTTTCATCCCTGCTTTTCCTTGAGTGTTTCATCATACCTGCATCCTAATGACTCAGATTATATATCTTTGGCTTCTCTCTTTACAAACTTCTTATCTGAAATATTGACTTACTATGCAGCTACTCACTACAACAAAAGCTGGCAATAAGGTTGGTAATCAGAAAGTTAGTAACTGCTTTTCAGATTCTAAAGTGATACATGTTTCCACTCACTGTCTCCATTCAACAAATCAGGTGTAAAACTACGCTCTGCTTCCTAGCTTTTTCTAAAGATGTCCCAAACTGGGAAAGGTGATATCATCATCTGTGCTAGCCAGCATCTTATTTATGATTGTTACTACATCCAAATTTTTTCAATACCTGCTTTCAACAGAATTTCCGGTTTTGAATTTTTACATTGTTGCCAACTGTCCCTGTTAACAGCCGGTGTATTTTTTAATTGTTAAAAAATACCACAAAAAATACCAGCTGTTAATCCCCACTTCCCCATTAAATGTGGAGCTGAGCAAATGAGGATGATGACAATCACCTTCTTAATGGCCATCTTACTCTGATGAAGGGTATGAGTCGTGACCCAGGGAAAAAAAATCATACCTTTGTAGGCATCTAATGCTTCCTTTCACTTATCTTGATGGTCAGTCTACAGACTGGTCCTCTGGTAGCTGACTGGATTCATAGCTGGTATGTACACACAGTAAGACACAAATCTTTGCAAGTCCTCTAGTAAGCTAGACAGAATTTCTTCTTTCCCCACTCCTAGCATTTGCCCCTAAAGAGCTGATTAAAGATAGGTGTTGCCACTTTATATGTTAAGGACTTATAGATGATCTGATAAATTAACTTTATATTTCTGGAAATAAATTATAAGCTGCCACAAGCACTGTGCCACCATATGTAGCCCCTGGAAGTACCCTTTACTTTTCGCTTTTCTAGCTCTCCATTTGGACAGTCAGGTTAACTTCAAACAGTACCTTTTTTTCTCCTCGAGACAGTAAATGTTTGTATTGCTTTAGCTGGGTAATTCCCCCCTCATCTCCCCCCCTGCCTATAAACAGAATAGAAACATGTAAAACTGTGTATTATTGAAAAAAGTTTCTGGCTCAACTCCCCATCATGGTTGCTGATTTCCACCGGGGCATGGGAACTTTATTTCTTTCTGGAGTTTATTTTTAGCTCCTTTAGACATAGTTCCAACTGTTTGAATAGGAAATTACAATCAAGCCAAAGGTTTCCTGTTTTCCTGTCATTCCTCTGCCTGTAACTTTCCAGTAGTTTTTTTTCTAGTCCAGAGCCTTTGATTTCTAGTCTTTTTATCTTGTTAATCCAAAAGGCAACACTTGAATTGGGGATTGTTAGGCTTTTTTTTTTTTTCCCCTGAATCCCTATGGATATCTTAAGAGAAATTTCAGATCCAGATTGTGAAATTCCCTAGTTTTCTTTTGGTATGTCTCCTGCTCCTTTTTCAGGCTGTCTCCAACCTCATTTCAGCCATTTGAGTGTCAGTCGTCACTAAAAACCACTTTTACCAAGTTACCTCAAAAGAATACCAGCTTAAAAAAAAAAAAATTCCTTGGTAGCCGCCTCTGTCAGCTTTTAAAGCTACATGAACCAGCACTTGGCCAGGCTTCGGAGTCCCACAAGTTCCCTGGGAAATACGTGGGGACAACGACAGACCCCATCCCAGCTGAGCTCCCTCACGCCGCGGTCCCGCCCGGCGGCCTGCGCATGCGCGGCCCCTCGGCCCGCCCGCCCCCAGCTGCCTCCGCGAGGGACAGGCGGGACCCCCGAGAGAGGCTCCGGGGGCCCTTCGGGACAGCAGAGGCACCAGAGAGAAAGGTCTTCGGCAAGTGCAGCTTCTCACTGGTGCGGGTCTAGGAAGAGACCCAGGATTTCCGTGTGCGCTACAGTTCTTTTACAAATCGTAGGTTTAGATTAGGTATTAGGAACAAATTCTTTACTGTGAAGGTGGTGAGGCACTGGAACAGGTTGTCCGGAGGAGTTGTGGATGCCCTATTCCTGAAAGTGTTCAAGGCCAGGTTCGATATGGCTTTAAACAACCTGGACAAGTTGAAGGTGTCCCTGCTCACGGCAGGGGGGTTGGAAGTAGATGCTTCTTAAGGTCCTTTACAACCCCAAACATCCTATGGTTCTATGAAAAAATAACGAAAATTATGATGGGTGTGGAGAAAGCATGCCAGGTTTTGCTGGGTCCCCAGCTGGCTACAGAGCCAGAGACAACAGAAACAGGAGGAATAGAATTTGCACAGCTGAAGGATGAGAGGTGGCTAATTTTGTCTAATATTTCTCTCAGTGTTCTTGAGAAGAGGTGGCACACCTACATACACTTCTCTTGTGAGAGAAATTATTTGCATTGGATATACAGAGATGTGGGAGAAAAGAAGTGACTAATGTTCAGCAATGGTTATTGTGGTCGCAGTGGGCAGCTGTTGCAATGGGGGTGGAAGTCCATGGGGAAACTCAGAAGTTATTAGCTGCCTCACAATATAGCCTCCATACATCCAGCCAGAGTGCAGAGAGGGACTAAATCTCGATCTCAGTATGAAGAACTGCTACTGCCAGGCACATACAACCTTAATTTCACTGGAGCAGTACATCACATCACTGAGACACACAGTGCATCTCTACTTCTCCTTCAGTTGGCCCAGAGTTCAAGAGTGAGCCTGTGCAGTACAGGCGAGCTCACTTTAGCCCCAAAGATACCACCCACACCAACCTGCAGGCCACAACCAGCTCTGTATTTCAGGACTCTTGAGGAGCTCTGCCAGACTTCCTCGTACATGCATATATCCTGAGGTGAAGCTAATCAGTCCCTCAGAGCAAAGGGACAGTTTGGACAGGTTGTTCCAGTAAGCATCACTTGTATTCAGTACATCTTACATAGCACAATTAACAGCAATTGGTCAATGAACAGAAAACCAAAAAAACCTATTCCAACACTGCACAAATTGCAGCATATCTGTTCCTCTCACGTCCCTTCTCACGTGTCCCTTCTCATGTCCACTCTCTGTGGACAGGTGTCAGCTTTAGGGGACCAAGTTAAGTCTGATTTAATTTAAAGCATAACACAGAACATGACACTGGGGAAGAAACAAGCTCTGGTGGGGAGGCCACTATTCATAGAATCACAGAATAGTTTGGGTTGGAAGATCCAACCCTTAAAGATAGATCCACCTTAAAGATCCTCTAGTTCCAACCTCCTGCCATGGGCAGGGACACCTTCCACTAGTTCAGGTTGCTCAAAGCCCTATCCAACCTGGCCTTGAACACTTCCAGAGTTGAGCCATCCACTAGTTCTCTGGGCGACCTGTTCCAGTACCTCACCATCCTCACAGTAAAGAATTTCCCCCTAATAATGGGGAAGGGGGGTATCTCTCTCCTCTAGGGTGCGAGGGGGAAGGTTATAAGGAGGTGGTGAGCCACAAAGGACACCTTGCCAGGATGCAGCACTCCTGGGCAGGAGCGCGGGTGCCAGGCGGGTGGTGTGGGGAGACGTGAGGCCCCACGTCTTCCCTTCGCTGCCCCGGCCACGCGCGAACACCCGGCCGCCTGCGGGAGACGCGGGCAGGTGCAAAGCGCTCCGAACTCTGCCCGGCCGCCATGGAGCCTCTCTCGGTGACGAGAAATCCCGTGAGCGCCCCGGGACGGGGAAGGGGCGCGGGAGGCCCTCGCTCCCCGCCCGGCCCCTAACGGCGCCCCGCAGCCGCGGAGCGTTCCCTCCATCCCGCGCTCCCGGCCGTCCCTCAGTCACGCCGTCCCTCGCCTCTCTGGACGGACCACAATTCCCAGAGCGCCGCGCGCGCGCTGACGTCAGACGCCGTCGGGGCTCGACCAATGGGCGGGCGCGCCGGCGCCGGGCGGGGCGGAGCGGCCGGTGGCGGTGGCGGAGCGGCGGCGGGAAGGGCGGGCGCGGGGTCTGCAACAGCGGCGCCGGCGACGACGATGCCGGTCCATTCCCGGGAGAAGAAGGAGAATAATCACGATGAGATGGAGGTGGACTACGGAGAGAACGAGGGCAGCAGCTCGGAGGAGGAGGAGACCGAGAGCTCATCAGTCTCCGAGGAGGGGGATAGCTCAGGTACCGCGGCCGCTTAAGGGGTACCGCTGCCGTTCCCCCAGCGCCCAGCTCTGCCCCAGGGACACAGCGGTCCTGTTCCCCGGCTCCGGTGGCTGCCGGTGCCCACCCCCGCCGTGACCCCGCCCCTCCGGCCCGGCCCAGCCCTAGCTTCGGCCCCGCGGCTCCTCCTCGGGCCGCCGCGCCGGCCGGGACGCAGTAACGTGGCGGGGCGCAGGGGCACGGAGCCCCGTTTCGCCCCGAGCCGCCGGCTCTGGAGCCAGCTGGCACCCGGCCTGGGGCCGGGGCGCGCTGCCCCGCTCCGTGGAAGTGCTGTGGGCTGTACCCTGCTGGGCTTGGGAGCGTGCCCGCTGAGCGGGGTCCTCGCTGGGGTCTGCACTTAAGGGCTTGGCACGCATACATACGTACATACATACATACATATACACATATACATACGTGTGCATGCGCGCACACATGTGTGTACGTGTATATACGTATGTATTTCTTCGTATGCCAACAATTAGGTGTTTTCAGACCTGTCTTTGAGGGGATATTGGAAGCCCTTGGCAGTACCATTGGCCTCCTTTGCTAATCATTTCAGTTTCTGCTCTGCTGAAGGTCCTTTCCTTTTTCCATAGCTTCCTTCTGGACTGTAGATTTGGAATTACATTAGTAGGTGAAATCTAGCTTTAAAAAATTACTTTTTCTATGCTCAATTTACAGTGTGTTATAGAAAGGTTATGATCTATTCAAACTTTCCTTGTAATTGCTTCTTTCTGTCTTTGATCTTAACGCATCTTTCCAGGTGATTCCCAGTAAAAGTTTATGGTGCCTTATTGGACTAGTGCTGAAATGGAAGACTGTGGGTGGAAAGGAAGATGGCCAGAGTTAGTGAACTGTGAGAAGTCCTGACATGGACGTGGGCCAGGGTCAGTCCTGGTCCTGACATGTGTTTTAAGTGATTTAGAGTGGTCTGCTGGGATCCTATCCCATGCCTATACTAGCATATTGACTTGTGGCCTGAGTGCTGGAAGAAGTGGAATGCCATGAACCAGACAAATTAGGCAGCTGTGAAATTATATTTTTATATCTGTTAGTCTTGTGATTGATTTATTTGTGTGCTAAAGTCTTCAGTGTACAGTTATTTCTTAATTTTTGGTGTTGAATGATCTGGGAGATCTTGAAAGTTAAATTCTAGGGCTTTTATATTCACACTGACTGATGCAGTTCAGGGAAAGCCCTGCTTTGGTGGTGCTGTGTGGACTCATGGAGCTTGTCCTCATCTGCCTGTGCATGGACTAGCAAGGTGCTGCAGCCCCACAGGTGTGGTACAGACACAGCCAAGCTCACTCTGCAGAAGTAGAATAAAGACTCTTCCAGTGCTGAGAAAGTGTGGCTACAGTACTGGGAGAGGGTATAGTCATTCCCTTAGACCTTGATCTGAGTTAATTCTCACTCTGCACCAGAGTTGATCCCCCAGTAGAGGCCTTGGTTAATCCACAGATCCAGATAATCTGCCCATGGTTTATGCAGAGCTTCCTATTAATTTTTTTCCTTTGTCCCCTTCTTCTTCCCTATCCCTCCATATCTTTGAGCTGGCAAGTATTGCTGCTAGAACCCCATTTTACAAGTTAGGCTGCTGGTCTGTGGTGTCCACCTGGATCAAAATGCTGACTGCTACTGTCCTACCTTTCATCCTTACCCACCCCTCCTGGTACTCTGTGCCTTTCTATCCCCTTTCTTGCTTGTTTGGCCTTTGTATGCTAAAGTGTCAGAAAAATAACTCATTGAAAAGGTAGCTAGTGAAAACATCTCAGTGAAGAGTCTGATATCTAAATGGCAGGCACTGGAGACTATGTAAACCAGTGGCTAGATAGACTGCAGCTCATTAGCAGCAGAAGGCATAAGTGGCAATTTTGTGAAAATATGTAAATATGTCCAACTTAAATCAGTTAACTGGATGCCTACATGTTTTGTGAATTTGGGACTAATGATTTGCATGTGTTTAGTCTGGAGCAGGTGATTTTTAGTTCTGGGCTGTTCTCTAATCTGAGGAAGATCTTGCACTTGTCTAACGCAACGCTACACAGGAGATGTCTTCACTCGGTGAACTGTGAACCATATCCAGATATGGGCTTGAAAGAGTCAGCAAAATTAGTATAATGTAGTGATTTTATTTCTGTCTGTATTAGCTACTGATTTGGCCAAATAAGAAAAGAGAATAAGTAGTTCTGAGCAGATAGTGCTGAGGCCCCTTATCTCCAAATTAAAACCTTAGAATATCCTGGGTTGGAAGGGACTCAGAAGAATCACTGAGTCTGACTCCTGGCCCTGCACACGACAGCCCTAAGAATCACACCGTGTGCCTGAGAGCATTGTCCATGCTTCTTGAACTCTGTCAGGCTTGGTGCTGTGACTACTTACTTCCCCTGGAAGCCTGTTCCAGTGCCCAGGTTCCCTGTGGGTGAAGAACCTTTTCCTAATATCCAACCTAAACCTCCACTGACACAATTAAGATCTACTGCTGGGGAAGGCTGATCAGTTTTTCCTTACCCCCGTTCTCTCAAAATGGTTCTGTTGAAAAAAAGGGCCAGAAAAATGTGCTCAAATGGTCTTGGGTTGTTTTGGTGAAACCTAAACTAGGCAGCATTTTTGTGTGCTGGTGGTTATGCCGGAATAAAAGTGAACTTGAGTTCACTTTTGGGTACCAGGACAAGCAACTGGAAGTGATCTGTTGGCAAAGCATACCTGATGCTGTGCTCTTTGCAAAGGAACCTTCTCCTTTCCTTTCCGATGTGACTTAGGAAAGCATGCTTCAGTTCTGTTATTATCAGAATTGTACATGAACTCAAAAGGGAATACTGTATTTTGGATAAGAAATTCATGGAGATAGCTTTTCAAGAAGTTCTGATACACGAAGTTTGTTACATCTTTCAGGAGAAGGCAGAGAGGGGATAAAGGAGGAATATCCAAGCATATTGGGCAGTAGGTGGGTGAGGCACAGAGTTGTTAAGGTCTCCTTGATGAGGTCCAGGGGCAGCACTGCAACAAAACCCACTACTTACTTTGCCCATCTTAGCCTTCCAGTTTGTGTTGTAGCTAGATGCCATCTGGGAATGCCCTTTCTTTATCTCTTATTCTAGCTAATCTTTATGTCTGAGAAAATGTAATTTTCTGTGGGACAGTTTCGTGTAACGTTTAAACTTAGCTTTTTCTCTCCCAGCTTCCTGGCTGTAGTGAGAGAATTGGCTCTGTTAGTTTCAGCTTTGAAGTTAGCTCTTTTTCAAAATTTGCCTGGTTTCCTCTTTGTAGTTCTGTTATTTGGTATTTCTAATGAAAACTTTGAAGTTTACATGTCCTCTAAGACGCTTTGGCTGATTTTTATTGAAGGCAAATATTTCTGTTGTTTTGTCCTTATCTTGCTTTCTTCTGGAATTAGGAAGGAGTAATTGTGTTTTAGTGAATGTAATCTATGAGTGTGTCTTTAAAACAACACAAGAAGCTCTCCAGATAATTTCTGTTGCATTCCACAGAGAAATGCTTTTAAGGGAGCACTTTAAATGTGATGATTACAGGAAATTACATGCTTGTCTTAGTGTCTTGACAAATATGAACATACTCCATGGCAGCATATTGCTCCTACGGACATAAGATAATTAGCACCACAAGAAACAAGTCTTAATTGAAATTAGTAATGTATTTTTTTTGGTGTTAAATTTGTCTTCTGCTTTACTTGCATTCAGCCTTTTTTTTTTCCCCACCAGTAGATGCCTGACAACACAAAAGGTGCTGTTAAAAGAAGCATGAGTTGTCCTATCCTGTTCCTTTTGACATTATGTATTTAGTAAAGGTTTTTTATTGATTGGGATTTAGAATAGCATATTAGAGATGAATAAAAAAAGCCACAAGTTATGATTACCATCCTAGAGGAGAATTTGGCCATTTTTTAAGCACTTTATGTAGGCCAAGGCTTATTAAAAAAAGCTATTTTAGGTGCTGTTACATTTTAAGTACTATGTGGGGGTTTTTATCTTTAAACCAGGCTACCCTAATTACCATGCTGGACTGCTTGAACATAGTAGGAAAAAAGTGACTGTGATTTTGGAAGTGTTTAAAAGTACCTTAAATACTTAGTGCAGTATGAAAGTATGTGGGAAATCTGATGTGTTGAGACAGGATGGGCCTATCAGCAAATGTTTTAATATGAAATGAGCAATCCCACCTCCAGTGTTGTAAATTTTCAACTGGAAAGCTGTGAGATTTGATCCTAAAACCTTTTACTTTTTCGGCACTCCATATTCTCTAGTCAGTATGTTGTTTAAGGCCATGGGAAAGAAATTTCGTAAATTATATCCATTAAAGATATCTCAGGACTCTAAAAATCATCATTTTATGAATCTTACTGGAGGCAGAATAAAGATGAAACAATTTAAGAGTGAATGTGAATTAGCATGTGAATTGACATTCGGTATGAATGATAGGTAGAATGTAGACTTCTAGACAGAAAGTCAGCTGAGGGGAGACTGGAGAGTTATGTGTTATTTCAATATCTACAAGAGAGTCAGCTGTGCCCTCAGATGCCAGTGCATAAGTTTCCTTGCAACACAAGTTTAAAATGTAAAATGCAGTCCCCTTCCCCTCCAACAGTAGGTGTGCACTGATCTTCAGCCAGGGTTACAGTTCTAATAGTTTTCTTTGCTTTGTAGTCCTTAAACATATACAAACAATAAAATTCATATTAACTTAAGAAAAGCTTCTGAGTGAATTCCTTACTAAAACATACCTAGAACAAAAGGCATGTTTGAGAATAAAGTGGGAAAACTACTGGTATCCCAGTGCTTGTTGCTGTTTGGTTTCACAGGGAGGTGCCTTCAAATTTTAAAGAAGCTTCATTTTTATAGCACATAAATGCTTTAGACAACTCTTTGAGTAATATGATTGCCACATCCCTTAAATCTGACCAAGCCGAAAGTTGACGGAGCAATTTTGCTTGAGTATTGCATTGGACAGCCAAATAAAACTTTGTTCTTTAATCTAATTTCCAGCCTGATTCTGGTTCTGCCTTATTTTTGAGAACAATATTTGATATAAAGTAGTATCTCTTAACAGCCTGATACGTTCTTCCTCCAACCTCCCCATTCAATGTATTTAAGTTCTGTCTTTAAATTTTCTTGCTCTGCTTTCAAATACTTCAGGTTATATTTTGTTTTAAAACTTTATACGCACTTTTTTGATTGTAGTAACTTTAGTACAACAGACCATACTAGGTCTTTAACTTGGAGTCATAGGTGCCATTGTAGTATACATTGGTATGCTCTGCTGCCTGCTGGTTTTCATATCCAGGTAGAGAGGGCTAGTGTAGTTTTTAGTCCTAATAGCTTGTGATGATTTCAGAAACAAGTTAAGTGCAGAAATCGTCACACACTGAGAGGTCTGAGTAGACATCTGAGTTAATCAGATCGTTCCAAGTAGCAGTGGCCCTGAAGCTACTCCTTTCACCTCATCACCTTTACAAATTGGCATACTCTTTTGGAAAACAATGAAAATGAAGACTTGCATGCGGGCGTTCTGTAGTTGGTGTAGGAAACAGCATAAAGAAGTTAAATTTTTCCAATGTTTATTGGAAAAATGTGAGGAAGAAACAAAAAGCTCAGAGTTGTTTATGGTCCAGAGGAGTGAGTCCAGGCTACTGGTTTCAGGATTCCACTTTACCTTTCTGTAGGATATTTTTTGCCAGAGTAAATGCTTACATAGATATGTAAGCCTTAGGACAGTGACTTCTCTTAAACACCTGGTCTGTTTGCACCCTTTCAGCCCCAGTTCCTAACTGCATGGCCATCCCTTCTGAATGCTTCCTACAGCTTGATAACAGATCAATTGTACTGTAACTGTTGAGAGCTAATTCCTGCAGATACTGCTGCTATAAAGCAGTTTCACATATCTGATTTTTAATAAGGCTTAACGAAGCCTTTTTTTTTTTCTTCTGGGAAGGGTGGGAAACAATCAAGAATTTTGTATCTTAGTTTTTCAGCTTTCTAGTCTAAGAAATGGCAGTGGAGATAACTGATGTTCAGTAACATCAGATGTCTCAACAGAGTGGCAAAATTTTTGGCAAAACAATTGGTATTTATTATACTTTATCTTCCCAAGCTAAATTAAAAAAAAATCAGGAATATAAATTAAATCAAAAACCATGGAAAGAGTTTAATGTTAATTACTCTTGCTGCATAAAAGCATATAAAGTCAAGTTTCTGCAAAGTTCTAGACTTTTCAGGTTAAGAAATATTTCTTTAGAAATGCAACCATTTCAAATGGTCGTTACAATGAACTACAGATATTTTTACAATTATATTTCAACGTCAAAGATCTCTTCAAATTGCACAGGATGAAACCTATTTCAAAACCATGTGTTATTTTTTCTTTAAAGAATTTTAATAAAACAAACCTTGAATTTTATATGACAAATGTAATGTTGCTTGCATTACAGGGATGGCTTTTGTTTATACTGACTCAGGATACACTTGAATTTTCAGTGGTGCCTAATAATTTCTCGTGTTAATTGGTATCTTTCATCTGGTATGATATACAATGTTTAGTTTTTCTGTTTCATGCGTTCTTATGTACACTTTGTATTATCAGTCTTGAAATTTAACCTCTTGAGGTCTTACAGTGCTGTTGTTTCCTGTTTTGAGAAAAAAGAATTACTGTTTATGGAGTTTATTCTAAAATTAGGTCTAAGTTTCTTACTTTGTAGCTTATATGACAAGTGATTTCTCATATTCTGCTCTATGTGAATAATAATATAAGGGCTAGCTATAATTCAGGCTTTCTTCATATTCACTAGAAATAAAATATCCAGTTTATTTGGTTATATATTACATTGTTCAAAATTATTCTTTTTATTCTTAGAAATGGATGATGAGGACTGTGAAAGAAGAAGAATGGAGTGTTTAGATGAAATGTCCAATCTCGAAAAGCAATTTACAGACCTTAAAGATCAGTAAGTATTTTAATGTTTTAAGTGCCTCATTTGGCAATCCATTCCATGAAAATATTGTGTGCAGCTGGTGTTTTTTTCATGTATGTGAATGCTACTTTTGGAGGAGAATAAGGATTGGGAGTTCTGAAATTATTTGCGGGCAGTTGCTTTAGAATAATTTTATGTATTTATATTTTTTTTTCTGTAGGGATAGTTTTGAAATGTTTTTGTTGTGAAGGGCTGGTGTGGGTCTATTGCATCAAACTCCTTAGTAGATCTAAGGAATTGTGATTTTAGGGGAATTTATTTATTTATTTACTCAATGTCTTATTGTTTTATGTATGTAGGACAGACAAGTACTGTTTTTGCTAAGTAAGAAATTAGATTTGGGTTTTGTTTTTTTTTTTTACAGGATAGTGCAGTAGTTTTTGTAGTTGGTACCAATGAAAGTTTCTTGTGGTTGCTGCAAACCAGGTACCAGTACTAAATAAAATGAAAATACTGTTACCTCTCTGTAGTTTGCCATCATGGCTAGGCTTCGCGAACGAAGATTAGTAGTGTGCCATAATACCTACATAAACAGTAAAAACCTGCTAAGTAGAAGAGATGAAATTAATAGCCACAGTTATCAAAAGTGATTGCCATTTGTATTACAGCCAGATATTTGTATCATAGAATCATTAAAGTTGGAAGAGACCTCTGAAATCATAGAGTCCAACCACTGACCTAACAATGCCAGGTCCACCATGAAACCATGTCTCTAAGCACTATATCTACACATTTTTCTGAACACTTTCAGAGACAGTGATTCCACCACTTCCCTAGGCAGCCTGTTCCAATGCTTGATCACCCTTTCAGTGAAGAAATTTTTTCTAATATCCAGTCTAAGCCTCCCCTGGTGCAGCTTGGGACTATTTCGTCTAGTCCTGTCTCTTTTTACCTGATGCCCCCCTCACTACAACCTGCTTTCAAGTAGCTGTAGAAAGCAATAACGTCTCCCAACAGCCACCTTTTCTCCAGGCTAAACAACCCCAGCTCCCTCAGCTGCTGCCCACAGGACTTGTGCTCCAGACCCTTCACCATCTTCATTGTCCTTCTTTGGACAAGCTCCAGCAATGTATGTAAAGTTAAATTTGTTTTTACATGTGCCCAGACAAGCTAGATGCATCTGTTCCAGTTTAAATTTGTGGTAATTTGGCAACTAACTTAAGGTACCTGGCGAGTGAAACTTTAACAAGACCCGGTCTATTCATGGGCATATCCTTGAATTGAAAACCTAGTCATTGTCATGCTTTAGATGTGCCTTTATGTTGTGAGATATTTCTTTCTGCTACAGAAGTGAGACATACAACTTGCTTTGTATAACAGGACACTGTGAGGTCTGGAAACAATAGGGTCTGGAAAGAATTGCCTAACAAGAAATTCCTTGCTGCAGTGCCTAGAGAAGATTGTTTGTACTGCTATTTATTTGGCTGTGCCTGAAGAAACCTGGGAAATGGAACCAACTGATGAGTACTGAAGCCAGTCAGTACTGACTGGTTTGGCATTTGGAAAACTGTTAGCTTTTGAGGTCAGCCCTACTCTTCCATCTGTCCAACAGCTTGGATGACTGAAAACAGTTTGTGGAAACAAACCTTTAAGGAGTGAATATGAAAGAGGGTGGTCATCAGAGGAAGGAAACAAGTATTTTGGGGGGGTTTAGGTGTTTGAGGAGTGGTAAAGCTATGGTATATGGAAGAAGGCATTGGGTAGACACATTGGCTAGTTGAGAGATAGAGGTATTTGTATGGGCTAGGAGAACAGTGATGGTGGGAATAATAGAAAAGGACCATTAGAATGATGGAAGAAGGATTATAGGGAGAAGTGGCTGTGAGTAGGGAGATGATGAAGTTGGGAAAGAAGAAGAAGATGCATAAACAATGGGATTTTTAGTCACAACCAACAGCAGAGATGATGTAATGATTGGGTCTGCCTGCTCATTTTTTCTGGGGAAACTGCATTTGGATGCTATAAGTAGAATTTGCAGTGGTTGGTAGCATTTATCCATTTTAGGCAAATCACTGTTTGAAAGTACTGGATAAATAGTTATAGTTCATCAACTGCTGCATGGTACCAAGTGCACCCAGTCTATAAGTGCTTGCTCTTATGTAGCTGGTCCTTGGTGCTGTATAGTCAAATGTTAGTGGCTGACCCAGTGCACTCTGCATCCAGGCTTATGTTCTAGCTAAATCATTCTGCTGTAGCTCTCTGTTAACCACCACGTGCATAGCATGCTCATCGGGGATTGAGCCCAGCAAAGTGGGGTTTGATCAGCTGCAGGCTGTGTCAGTTGACTGCAGGACAGATTGCATGTATCATACTCTTAACAGGTTGCAGGTAAGAGGTAGCAGAGTGATCACTGATGACAACTCTGTAGGTCAAGCATGTGTACCTAACCTAGCAATAGTCAAAGTAAGAAGATGAGCAAGCTGGTGGCAGACGAACAGGCAGTTATTTCTCAAGGGGGTCTTGGTGTATTAGTATACATAAACTTTATTTTTTCTAATTACTTAACTTGTGCACTTTAAATAAGTAAAAAAGCAGCATCCTTGGCCCAAGGACATCTGTTGTATCTGTGTAAACAGATAACATCTGATGTGTTCTTAACATTTAGAGAGTTTGTACATGTTTACTTTAATTTTACAGCTTTTGATTGTGCGTTGCAAGGTAAAAAATGAGATAAGGAGAAGTCAGTTATATTGGTGTTTCTAACATTGAACATTATATTTATCAGTTACAGTAGGTGGGGCTGTATTGAGATTGAAATCTTTGTAATTGATATTACATTAAATTCTACAAAAAGTGCAAGTAGGTTGCTTCATTGTCTGCCAGTAAATATCAGCTTTTATAGGAGGACTGAATTTCAGGTAGAATAAAAGTGCTTTAAATACAGTTCCTTTTGGCAGGAATGGAAGATATCAGTTAGAAATCATACTGTGCTATTTGTGATAGTATGCAATATGTGGATTTTCACAGGAGATGAAATGAGTGTTACTTCAATGAGAGCCTTCCCATGTTTTATGGTAGCATGGGAGCAGATATGTGAACACAAAAATGAATGGTTGTTTCTATCCACGAAATGTCTGTCTTTCTCTCTCACGACATAAGCCAGTTCATTATAATGTATTGTAGAGGACAGCTTTACGCGTCCTCTTCCATGTGGATTCACATCCTACTGCATTTCAGTCCTATAAACAGACATGCAGTTTTTTCTTCTTCCTTAGAGATGGAGATACATACACTTCTAATTGTTTACACTCACTTTCCAGAAAGGCTTAATAGACGTGAATAGAATATTTCAAAAAGAAAATATGTCTTGAAAAATTCAAATGCTAAAAAATCTTCACTTTGCTTCAGTGTTCCATAGCATTAACAAAGGAATGACAAAAGAACAGCTATGTTAAAAATATTTCTTCCACCTTGTGTTTTCTTCTAAATAAAATACATATGAATACATACTTTTAAATAAAATACATATTTTCATTTCTATTTTTTTAAGACTCTACAAAGAAAGATTAAGCCAAGTGGATGCAAAACTACAAGAGGTCATAGCTGGAAAAGCACCTGAATATTTAGAACCACTGGCAGCTTTACAAGAAAATATGCAAATCCGAACCAAGGTGGCAGGTAGGCATGTAAAATGAGTATTGCTGTTTTAAAGTATAAACTTCCTATGCAATTTAAGACCAATCTTCTCTTTTCTTTAGAACTGTTGAAGGAGTATGTTTTAAAGTTAGAAATACTGTGGCATGATTTTAAATGTAAAGTAGTTTCCAAGTAAAAATGAGTAAGTTGCTTACCTCTTTGCATAAGTTGCCTGATAACATCAAATTAAAAATATGGCTTTTTTATGTTTCATATACTAGCTGCCTGTCTTTGGGTAGTAAGTACAAAATTACTGAGTTGAAAACTAATAATTTTTATTAGTCAGAAGATTTGGGATCAAGTCTACACAGTGGTCACTGTTGAAGAGATATGTAGGTTCTGTCTCATGAAGTGCTTGCCAGATCATCTTAGATGATCATGTTTTTTCCTGCTCTTCTAGTCTCTGTCTCTTCTGCTTCTCTGCTCCCATCTTCCTGTTCCATCTAGGGAAGAAGAAAAACCCTATCCTTGACAGCTTTGTTCTAAGCTGAATTTTAATTATTAAAACTAATGTTTAGATAGGCTTTTATGCTCATAGAAGAAGAAGGCAAGGACTTTGATCTTCTTTCACTATACAACCGTATATAATCATATGGAGTAGTGGTATTATGGAAAGACAAAGTTCTGTACTTCTCTACTGTAAATTTGTTTCATGTTACAGCTTGACTCCCTTAGGAGTAATTCTGCTGTCCAAGGGCTACGTAATACAGACTGTCAGAGATCCAAAAGGCAGACAGTCTTGATCTCTCTAACCAGAGAAGCTATACCACTGTCTTTTCTAAGAAACTTAGCAGAAACGTCGTGCAGCCAAACTGAAAATGGCAAGCCTTCTTATACTTTTCATAATACAGTTTCAGTGCTACTCAGTATGTCTTATTGGTACTTTTAACTTTGAGAATATGAAATCTTTTGATCAATTGCATTTCTCTCCCTCCAGCTCTTTTCTGTAATGCTTTTTCTCAGCTGCTGACCCAGAATTTCTGGGTTTTAAGTTCTTAACCCAAATTTATGTGACTAGTCCTAAGTAGCCCCCTTCTGCTTTGCAGAAGGATTGTGGGTGAACTTGCAGAAGGTTTGGTATAAAAGCAACGATAATCCAGGCTTTCGATTTTCAATTTTAAATGTGATTGTCCATCTGTGCTTTCATGTAGGTGGCTATGGGTATGCATTTTACATATTCTCCTGATTGGTCTTCAGCAGCACTGAAGGTCCATGTTCCAATGTAAAAAAAGCCCAGCATAAAAACTGCAGTTTCCTTGAGGCTGAGAATAGAAAACAGGTTTTTTTTAACTTTTTGTCCCCAACTAAATGAATTTGATAAAATTATTCTGGAGAAAGCAAGAAACTGCGAAATAGGCTTATTTGCTCTTACTATTTGAGAGCCTTGACTGTTACCTGAGAGAGGGGAGAAGAAGGTGAAAAATCCCCAAACTAAACTATGTTTAGCTAAACTTTGAATATAATTGCATCTGTGGTAGAAAAAAACCTTGTGTTTCGCTGCTCTCTAAGGCACTATTAGAACAAAATATGGATCTCGACTATTTCAGCAAGTCAGAAATACAATAGAACTGTTCATAACTGTGTTGTTCATTTTCAGGCAAATAAGCAGTGACCTAGGTATGCCAGTCAGCCATAAATATAAAAAAATCCAGCATAACATAGCAATGTAAGAAAAGAACATTTCAAATTCTAGATCAAAAATGACTTCACAGCAGAAAGATGATTGGCTTAATACTTGGAGGTTTATTTTTCAGAGGAATTGCTGGTAGTAGTGTTGTTCCTCTTGTGCTGTGTTCATTTATTGTCAGTTGAATTCTAAGGGGAAGTTGGTTTTGGAAGTTGTTCTGTTGCGAGATACCACCAGCGTGTGTGCAAACTTAACTCTTCAGGTTTCTAATCTGAAACCATTTAAGTATTTTGTGTTGAATGCATTGAATATATTACATCAAATTCTGTCTCTGCTTACCAGATACTTATTTCAGATAACTCAGATTTTTTCAACTGTCTGTTTAGTGGACATATTTTCAGAAATGCTCCTAATGCTTAGAAACGGTATGCTTTGTATCACAAAATGACTATTTCTGAGAATGGAACAGTCTTGTTAATTAATTTAATTTATTAAGGTCATGCATTATAAAGTAATATTATAATATTAATTTGTTTAATTTATTAATTTATTTATCTTATTAGTTTATTTAATTAATTTATATTAATTAATTTAATTAATTCCCAAATATTAATTTGGAAAACCTTTTTCTTTCAATCGGTTTTCTAGCTATCTTAAAACCCTAAGACATTACTTTAAACTCTAATTAGAAAATAGAAGAGGCCATTTAGTATTTGATTTTTGAAAACTGATGATATCCAGGATAACTTGATCAGATATATGAAATAGACCTATTTTGTGAAGTTAGCATGACCACTGGTGTAATTTATTGACTGACAGGGGAAGGAGTTAAAATAGGATTTATTTTTTCTCACATCTTCAGAATTAAGGATTTACTTGTTCTTATTTTTACTCTTTAAAAAAGCCAGGCACTGTAAGTGCCTCATATAATATATCTGTATTTTCCACTATGTGCATTTTTTGGGATTTGCAGGCAGTCTTAAAAGGGAATTCTGAAATTGGATAGTTGCTAAAGAAAGTAATATTGCTATAATTTGTGTGATTACAGGTATCTATAGAGAGCTTTGTCTGGAATCTGTGAAGAACAAGTACGAATGTGAAATTCAAGCCTCTCGACAGCACTGTGA